GTAGGGAAAACAGTGAATGTCAGTGACCCGGTTGGGGGCCCTCTGAAATCAGGGGGGGTCTTTCAGCTGGTTTCATTACTCTGTGGATCATCCCCTGTCGAGCAGCCATCTCCTTGGTAGAAACTAAATGCCCCTGTGTTCGAGCAAGCTGCAGCCTGGTTTTCCCTGCAGTCAGTTCTGTTTCCTTTGGTGTCGAAGTACCCGCCTGCTCATTTCTGCTCATGTCAGGCCCGTGGAGCTGGCCGGCTTTGGAGGGCGAAGCAGGACATGTGAGCCAGGACCATGCGGATGAGTGCAGCTGGGTATGAATCCCTTGCAACTGCGTGCATCATCAGTGTTTCGTAATGCGCTGGGGGAGGCTCAGGTCCAGCTTTCTGTAAGCTCGTGGCTGCCTGCACTTCTGGGTAAACCAGCTAGGAGTTTCACATATGGGCTCTCAGTAAAAGCTTTGAAGCTCATGGTGATCACAAAGGCAGGTGTGGCAATGGGGGTGCTGGCAGAGCTGGTCAAGTAGCGTGTTTGCTCCAGGACGTGGTACCAAAGCACGAGGAAGCACTGTGCTTCCCACTCCCTGGAGGCACCGGCAGCTCGGCCATGGGGTGAGTCTGGGAGACCCCGCTGGCACTGCTGAGAGATGGCAAATGTGCAACCCCGTGACACTGTTTAATGGAAGAACTATGCTGTGTGGAAGGGCACCGGGAAGCTGAACACCTCTTCTGCTTTCCTGATGGCCACTGTTTCCTCGGATGTGTCTGCCCTGACAAAACACTGACGCCTCCCAAGGCTGTTGGGTGGTGGGAGGGCTTGCCTGGCTGGCTGGCACCGTGGGGAGGGGAAGGGCGCAGCTAGGCTGGACAGCTCGGGACCTGCTTTCAGCTACAGACAGGAGCCAACAGGACTAGAAGATGAAGGAGAGCAAGCTGCCATTTAGCCAATTTTGTGCTTGGGTGGTCACATTAATAGCTCTGATTGGAGTTTCTGGGTGATTAACTGCAGTGCAAGTGTGGAGAAGGAGCAGCTTTATTCTGTGAATTTACATATTCCTTCTTCGCCTCTCCCTCACCCCATGCACCCTCCCTGCTGGGAAACTCAACATTTTATCAGGGCTGTGAGAGCCCTTCTGGTTGCCTCCCCAGCTATGTTTCCTCCAGAGCATTCCCCACTGATGCTGCTGTAGTATTCCCAGACACCCTGCTGCTCATATTGGTGTGGATGTGTATTTTAAGCTGGGGAAAATCAGTCTGCTGAAGCGACCTGTCCTGTCTTACGTGAGGCAGGGAATGGGGCAGGGGCCTGATGCAGCATCTCCCATGTCCTCCTCCGGTGTCTCCTCCTCTGTGTGGGTCTTGTCACTGAGCAGAGTGACAGGTCACATCCTGATTGCTGCTGATGCTGAGCCTGTGGTTAGTGACCAGGCTGATGGAGCAAAGCAAGTTTCCATGTTTTAATGAGAACGTGACAGATCTGGAGGAACTGGGTGGATTTGCCCTGTTTAGCTTTGTCATCACGCATCTGCTAGTCTCCAGGTGGGGTTTAAAATGATCGGGTGTCTCAAATAATCAAGGTACATTAACTGCTTGCTTGCTGGCTCTGATAGTGGCTAGAGGTAGTTGGGTGGTGGCAGCCTGCTTTTTCACCCATCTCGGAGTGGAGTGAGGCGGAGTGCAGCTTGCTCCTGCCATTGGAGAGAGAAATGCTGTCACTACTTTGGAATTACTAGGATTCAGTGCTCCCAGCTGGAAACAGATTTGCAGAAGAGCTGGGCTCCTCCACAGGCTCCTCAGCGCCAACCAGGCTTCTCTTTGGGTGCACCAGCAGCTCCCACTATGATGCCCTTGGCCAGGGGCTCCAAAGTTCCTGATGTGCTCATGACCTCCCAAAGTGAAGTCCTGCCTCAGCCCTCTTGAATTTCAGGCCCTGAGCTTCCAGTTTGTGAATCCCTGGTGTTTGGTAGAGCTTAAATTAGAAAAAGTGGAGAAGTGGTGAGGTAGAGTGCTGGGAAGGTCTGCAGATGTGGGGGTGTGATGCAGAGCAGCTGCCCGGGCAGAGCCACTATCATCGTTTCAGTGGGGATCCCCGTCATTTCTATGGGGATTCATTAGTCATCAGTAATTCAGGCCAAACTGTCTCCAGGATAAGGAAAGGATGAGAAGGTAAGCAGGGCTTTGATCACAGTATCTGACACAGCTTGACAGGATCCCAGTCTGGACGATAATGGGGTTCTATAACTGAAGAAATCACTTTATAGGTAGAAAATGGGAGTGTGGGTGATGATGCCATATGTGCACAGGGAAATTTCAACTACTCTCCATCTGGTTTGCAGCTTTTTGTAATTGCTGGTAGTTTGTGAGTCTGTGAGAAATTCCAGGCAGGCTGGAAGAACAAAAAGAATTGATCAGTCTAAAAATAAGATGGTTTGTACTCAGTGTAAGATGCTCTCGGGAAGCTAGGGCAGCAGCATTACTGCTGTTCTGGTGAGATGTATCTTTCTAGGATTTATTGTGCCCTCGTGATTCTTGAACTAAGCTTTTCTCTATCTGTGCTTCTCTCCTTTGCAGAAGTGGAGCAGATTGAAGCCATAGCAAAGTTTGACTACATTGGACGGTCTCCACGAGAGCTCTCCTTTAAGAAAGGGGCCTCACTCCTCCTGTACCATCGGGCATCAGAAGACTGGTGGGAAGGGAGACATAACGGTGTGGATGGCCTTATACCCCACCAGTACATTGTGGTGCAAGACATGTGAGTAAAGTGGCATGTGTTGATCCAGGATGTTAAAATCACATACCGACACAAGGTCCACTTTAGCCACCCAAAATAAGTGGTCAGATTTTCTGAGGCTTAATGACTTTGCTGAGAAATCTGGACCTGTTCACATCTGCTTCTCCATGTATTGGCTCAGATTGTTTCACGTTCAAGCTGATAAACCCAAGCACTAAATACTGAACCCCATCTATCATTGACTCCTTAAAGTGGCATGACCCAGGCTTAATATTGGTCTTGCCCCTCGTGTACGTTGACCTGGCATTGTTCAGTGCCCATCAGGCCTGTAGGCAGATCCTAAGGTCCTTCGCAGATGCCGCTTCTGTTACAAGTACTGTACCTGGATTCATTAAAATGGCAACTACAGCGCAGGGGGATATGGAAATGTGATGTTCGCTTTTTCCAAGCTCCAGGTACTGTCTGAAGTGGTGCCCTTGGTCTAGCCCTTTGTTACCAAAGCCTGGAGCTGCTGGAGTGGTGATGTTCAGATCGACATTGTGGCTGGGCCCTAGCCTCTCTCCTGGGGCAGAGCCGTGTTACTGATGGGAGTCTCCTTTTCCTAGGGATGATGCGTTCTCTGACAGCCTGAGCCAGAAGGCAGACAGTGAGGCAAGCAGCGGACCACTGCTGGATGATAAAGCCTCATCCAAGAACGACATCCAGTCTCCGACGGATCATATTGTGGACTATGGCTTTGGAGGAGTAATGGGCCGGTAGGGAAACTCTCATTTTCCTATGAACACAGAGGTAGTCGCTGTCACATGCGGGGAGAGTCAGTGTGTGGTGTAGGGCAAGACAGAAGGGGAGGCTCCAGTAAGCACTGCAGAATAATATGAGCATGGAGGGGGTTTTCATGTGCATTGCTAATGTAGATCTTAAGTAAAGAAGGTACAATGCTGTCCCTTTCTTGGCACTGGCTAAAATGTCTGTCTTCCCTCTTGCTTTAGTCTTCTGGAGCTGAAAGGCTCGAGTTTGGTTTGATCTTAACTCTCAGAGCTGAGCGATTGTCTTACAGCATGCAACCAGCCACTTTTGATCTGATGGACGGTGACCTAGTCTTGTGATGGATTCTTTACAGAGTGAGATTGAGGTCTGACGGTGCAGCTATCCCTCGCCGTCGAAGCGGGGGGGACACGCACAGCCCGCCCCGAGGGATGGGTCCTGGCATAGACACTCCTCCTCGAGCAGCGGCCTGCCCTAGCAGCCCCCACAAAATACCTCTTAACAGGGGTAGGATTGAGAGTCCTGAAAAGCGCAGAATGGCGACATTCGGCAGTGCAGGCAGCATCAATTTCCCAGACAGGAAGGCCTTGTCTGATGGCCACCCGCTGAGATCGACCTGTGGATCAACTAGACACAGTAGTCTCGGAGATCAGAAATCTCTAGAAGCAGAAGCGCTTGCTGAGGTAAGAGGTTTGTGAAGTGGCTCTCGGTGCCCAGGGATTGAGAGGCTAAAATGAAAGTCACTGGGGTAGCGCCGCAGAGCCCCTTCCATCTCAACACACTTCAGAATTACAGTGCTGTTGTAGCTGCAATGGTTTAAAGACAAAAATGAGCAGCCAACAGCTTGCCTGCTTTTCCAACTGTATCGGTTGGTCTAATAAAAGATACTGCCTCCTCCCACAAACCTTGTTTTTTCAAAACAATAGGCAGAAATGTTTGATCCACCACCAAAATGTGCTGGCAGCTCTTACCTCCCGCAGGGAGGGAAGCGCATTATCTTCATCTGACGCTCCATAAGGAGCTTAGGAGGAGAAAACTGGATTTGCCAAATCAGAATTTGACTGATGCTCCGTGTTTGGAGAGAAGTACTTCAGGTTGGTACTGGCTGTTTGTAGCTAGGATCTCAAAATGTTAGTCTAATCCCAGTATGATGTCTCCAGCCATGCAACATCATTGATGTCACATTAGGCCATCAGTTCCACGATGCTTGTTAAATTCATGTTACCTCCAGCATAGCCTGCAGGTCTCCTCTCTCTGCTGCTGGCAGGAGGCCCCCAGCCAGGTATTGGTCAGGTTATACCAAACCTGTTAACATCTCAGAGAATGGTCCTTTCACGCAGCAGGCTGCAGAAACCACCTAGTTCAGGCACACTCCCCGCCAATGTGTCCCAACAGCCGTGGGTTGGGCCGGTTCGGGGCCTGGGGGCTGGGAGCGCTGTGGACAGGCTGCTCAGCATTCCCTATTTCAGCAGTTTCCCCGGCAGTTTGCTTCGTGCCACCCTCTGGCAGGAGCAGCAGCTGTGGGACGGTTGGTGATGCCCAGGCGGAGGGGTGCAGCTGCTGGGGACGCTGCTGCCCGCCACTTGGCAGCAGCTCATGTGCCACAGGGTTTGGCGGGCTGTTTTATGTAGAATGAGCTGCTTTCAGTGGGATAATTAATGATGATTGCAGAAAGGAAGAACTCTTACTGTCCTGTCTGCTTTTCCACCAGCCACGCTCCTTGTTCTCTTGCTCTGCAGCACGCTACCCAGCCTCTCTGTCCATCAAGAGCTTGCATTTGGTGTGATCAATTTAGAGTTATGGTCGTAGCACAGTGCATGCCCTGAGCGATGGCTCGAGCTGGGGCACTGTGTCTGCCTTGGGATGGGATAACAGCATGCACGAAGTCCCCGGGCTCGGCTGATGGGCAGTAGCGTGCCACCCTGCAGTGGGGCCTGGGGCCGCGTTTCCCAGGTGCAGTGCAGGGCTGTGGGGTCCAGGAGCCTCCAGAGGGATGGGTAAATGCTGAGGACAGAGCACGATATGCACAATTTTCTTGCCTTTTGGGTTTTGTGTTGGTTTTTTTAAACCTTGGAAAAGATTCGCACTCAGCTGATGTAAATAAATACTTACCTTGAAGTCTGTAGGACTGCTGGACTTGGTAGTCCTGAGGCTTAGCTCTGGGAGAATATTTTCACTCATTATCTGAACAGCTTAATAGAATTAATTGGAGCTAGTTTGATAATTATTTCCCTTCTGCTGATCCTCTGAACATTATCTGAGGCTCAACCAAGCGTTTTGTACGCATTATAAAATTAAGGACTTGTCTACAGAAGGACAGCGAGGAGAGTTAACTAAAGCTATTTTTTTTAAACGATTGATTCAGTTGCCTTAAATCACTTTTCAGATGGTCTCTTTCTGAGTTAGTGGCCTTAATTCAGTTAAGACGGATTTAAGTGAAGCCAAAGTAGGGCCTCTATTTCTGAATGAGATGATCAGCACTAATGTAGCTAATTTACTTTAAATGGGCACTTCTGGTTGAACTGGGTTCACCTTCCGGAGGATCTCTGTGGACGGACCCATGGAGGCCGTGCCTAGGAGACATGACCCGAGGTGGGTGGGCAGTGAGGGGCTGGGGCCGGTCTCATCTCAGCTGCCTCCCCCCGCACAGGGAGAGAGGCCTTGTTGCTGGCCTCTCTTTTATTTATGGTGAGCTGCCATTGTGCTGCTCACTCTGCATACATCCCTGGGCATTTCCGCCCCACACGTGCCATTGCCCTGGAGGCACAGGGACAGCAGAGGTCCCATACATCTGATGGAGGCTGCAGGGCCTTCTTTTTTTGGGAAAAACCAGCCTCAGTGCTGTGGGGAATGTGGAGATGTCCTGCCTCGTTGGAGATGTGGACAGGCTGGTGTTGCTCGTGGTGCTCGGGCTTTGCTCCCTTTGGAGCTGGCGACCAAACTCCTGTTGACTTGGGAGACATGGGGTGCCTTTGTGTGGCCAGAGTTTGGGCTTTATATCTTCTCCTAAAGCTCCTGCTTTGCCTGGAGGCTCTGTCTTAGGTCAGAGACCCTCACACACGGACACAGGTGCCAGGACGGGGGGGCCTCTCCATGGGGTGGGGTGCAGGAGAGTGGCGCGATGCTGTGGCATGGTGCTGATATCCCTTTGTTGGTGGCATTCGCAGGACATCGAGAAGACCATGAGCACGGCGCTGAACGAGCTGCGGGAGCTGGAGAGGCAGAACACGGCCAAGCAGGCCCCCGATGTGGTCCTGGACACACTGGAGCCCATGAAGAACCCCCCAATGGGTGCTGCTAACTCAGAGCCCGCCAGCCCCCTCCACACGATTCTGATCCGGGACCCCGATGCTGCCATGCGGCGCAGCAGCAGCTCCACCACGGAGATGATGACCACCTTCAAGCCAGCCCTGTCGGCCCGGCTGCCCGGGGCTCAGCTGCGGGCCCCCCCCACGCGGC